TCATAGCTACAATAACCTTTTATCATCCCTATGTGTGATAGATTATTTTTCCCGCTGAACCTACATACTTCAGTTTATCCATGAATATAATCGGTAAACGTTATTGAGGAAACCCGGATTTAAATTACCGTTCAGAAGCAGCAGTCATGGTTGAAAACAAATGAAGCTGGCAATCCATCTCCAGACAAGATCTAATGTAACGTTTGGACCAATCTAAATAGAAGTCTGCCTAGTGGAGAAAGATAAAATTTTGTATTTTCATTAGTTCGTATTACTCTTTCATCCTCTTAAGTTACTTCCTAACTTTATGAGACCTTCCCAATTGATAAATTTCAATAGAGCAAAAACAATAAACGTACAAAAATAATCTGGATCCACTCTATTTCGTGGCCAGTAACAACAACAGTAACAACAAAAAATGGATTGATTATAAAATTAAAAAAAAAGTAAAAAGATAAAACACCAAAACGTACGTAAATTATAGTAAATAATATTTTTGATTTGTAAACAAGAATTGTTACAAACAAAAGTCATCAGGGCCAATCGAGAGTGAGGAAAATATATCATTTGGAATGTACAAGCCTGGTTTAGGTCTTTTGACAGAAATCGCTTCAGCAAAACACAATAAGTTCGAAGATGTTTGTTCATCAATAATTTTGAATGATTCAGAAATCCGGAATTTATGCCTAGCAGTCGAACTTTGTAAGCATATTGACCTCTCAGACTCAATTTTTGAAGAATATGCTCATTGGAGAGAACATTAACTATCCTTTCTTTTCTCCAAATGTTTGTGCTTCAGCACGTACATATAAATTGGTATTCACAGTTGGAGGTAATGTAAGATGAATATTTGTCTATTTTCGAATTTCTAAGCGAGCACTATGTTTGGTATATTGAGATCAGTTTTGCTGTTGGATAAGACCTTTCATATGCAGCTCTTAGACTAAAATCAATTTTACCAGATAGTTCATCACCTTTGAGTCCAAGTTGTATGAGAACAAATCTTTCCTTCACTGTGACACACTTATTTTTATTCCTGTATTCCCATATTTATCGCTACACTTTCATGGATAACCATACTTTTCGACAATGATTTGTGGTGGTCGATGTTCGATATTATCCTTAAACTTCGTATGTTGTTCGCCCTAATAACCATTACACGATAACGCCCCAACGGTGTATAAATTAGAAGGCGAATACGAAGTGTTGATTGCGTTTATTAATGAACCAAGCACAGATATCCAAAATTGCAGGCACGTTAAGCAAGCATGAAAGAGTAGTGCCGTAAACCAAGCGAGTGACCGAGTGACCGAGTCAATAAAAGAGTGTGCTGGTCAACGAGTCAGCGAGCAAGCGAACAGGATTAAGATGTACATTTATTAACATAGTGAAATGAATGAATCATCGAATCAATTCAGCGACTAATACAAAGGCTTGAAAAATGAATATATGCGTAGGCAGTAAACAGTCTTCAAGCATACATAATAAAGGTACAATAGTATAGATAGGTTGTCATTGTACGAATGATTCTGTCCGTCAAATAAGTTAGAAAAAAGGCTTAACCAAGTAAAATATGCACAAACTCAAGTGTATGTGAGCTGCTATAGATTAATTACTCTTCAATCTTGTCCTCTGGACATAATTTTTGTATTCGATTGAATAGTTCTAGCTGAAACTGACTTATAACTTACCGTACAGAAGCTATTAAAATTAAAGTCCTCTCTGTATTATTTTAAATAAATCTTTGAATACGACTGTTAGCGGGACATAGATTGGATTAAAGTATGTTCCATGCATGATTGTGTTGCCGCACGCTGATTGGCTAATTCCTATCTAGTCAGCGCTGGTCGATACTTGGAGAAGACTCTAGAATCTTATGTAAAAACCATGAATATACTAACGTATTTCTTACTGCGCTTCTTAATTCCATCTATCCTTGTTATTCGTAATATAATTTCTTTCCTGGTCAACCATGTTCTGATTTGGGGACTTGTCGAGTGTATTGGTGTCCAAGAAAACTAAGCGATAGGAATAGCTGGGTAATAATAAGCGAAATTCTAACAGTGGCGACGGGGAGGGATGCTGCTAGAAACTGCATCACAAGAAGTACTTAAAATAGCATGTAAACTCGAATAGTGGATGTTAAACTGTTGTGTTAGAGTCTCCAACAACTGCATTTGTGCATCAAGTGAAATTATAACAACGATCATCTTCATCACGTTGGATACCAATGTCTGGAGAATGAAATTTATTGTCATACTCATGCTCCGTTTTAAATCGTATATTTGGATGTAGCATATTAGATTCAGCATATTAGAAGCATGTTTGTGACTACTGCAGGGAAAAAATTTGTCACTAACTTACCTAACATACCGGGCCGCCTTGTTTATTATCGTTTTCATCTTAGTCTACTCCGAGTTAGCCATTAGTACATCTGTTAAGATCGGGCCTAAAGGACTAACCATAGCGACAGCATCAACTTGGCAATAAAAGATACTGTTAAGCTGGAATTGTACATCTTTTGTACAAACCAGTAAGAGCTGTTTGAAATCATTCTTTGGTAAAAGGAGAAAGTTAGTATGTTCCTATATAACTTCTATAGTTTTTTCCAATGGGATTAAAGTGAATAATGATGACACATCAAACGACGCTAATAATTTATGGGAAATATTAACGTTTTCCAGTACTTTGGCAAATTGAATGGAATATTTTTGATATTATGATATAAAGTATGTGCACTGATTTTTAATGGTTAACACCGTTGTGTTTGGATTGTATGCAACTGATGAGAAGCCACGAAATAAAATGAATTCAGATTATTTTCTACGTTTATTATTTTCGCTCATTTAAATTCTTTATTTTAGTCAATAACAACTAGGTAGAACGTCTTCTGTTATAGAAGGGGTTTTGTGGAGATTTAGTAATTATCATTGTTGAAAGCGTGAGTCAATTGAAGCTAGATCACCATGGAAAACCTGGAAACACTGGACGGCCGTTTCGTCCTATTATGGGACTCCTCAGCAGTGCGCATCCACGAACCTGCTCTCGCGAGCGAGATTCGAACCCAGTGGAGTTCTACCAAGTCTGTTGTAGAGATATGAACTCACTGAAGACAATCGGTGAATGGTCGCTCCAAATCGTGGATTGGTTGAAGTTAGACATTAACACCGTTGGATGCCGGCTCAGTGGTCTATCGGTTAAGGGCTCACTCGCGAATGTAGGATCAAGGATGCGCACTGCTGAGGAGTCCCATAATAGGATGAAACCGCCGTCTATACATTCATTAACCCAAAGATATTGTTTCCTATTATTATAGAAGTCAAAGTGAAATTCTGAATTCAAGTTTATTTCTATATTCGTTTATAATATTTGGTATGACTATAACAAAGTCATTAAAGTGACTGATTTTCCACTATTTGATTAGAAACATGAAAATCATCTTCTTACTTTATTTGGATGATGAGAGATTCTCCTTTGTTGTTAAATGATGTGTGTTTGAACGAGATACACAAATCCATGGTCTGTCAACATTAAAACAGTATCATTTATTGAACGACATTTGATTGTACAGCTGGTCCGTTTCATTGTGATTCTCATTTAGACCACACTTTAAACTAAATAATATAAAAGAAATATGTTTCAAATCAGACAATTACATTTCATATCATTAAAGTGAAAAGAAATTAATAAAATGGGATTATGGTATCAGAACACAAAACATAAATGATATATTTCAAAGGAATCGAATCTAATTGACGAATGAAAAGTATTTACAACCACCAATTGTGTTTAATGATTAGCCAAAGTTAACTCACAAATTTTCTTTATGACTTCGATTTGAGTAATATATATTAACAAGACTTTTAATGTATTTTATTTGATAGTAAACTTTTCTTAATATAAATTTAAAGCAATTAGTCCCTTTGATAAATTTCGATAATGTAATAAGAAGACGAAGATTATCAGAACTATTGGGATATACTAGCGCAATACATTTCGAATGATCTGATCACACATATACTTGTTAAGAACATTTATAGATAAAAATAAAAGGTCAACTAGACTGGAAGTGGATGGGGTAAGAATAGATAAGGATAGTGATAATAAAAATAATGTGGAAACAATTTAAAACCTAATCACTCTGGATAATAAGCTAATATTACGATGGTAGATTTAAGGTGAGAACAAACTGTTTTTTGAATACAAAAAGGGGGTTTGAATTTTCATATGACTGAGGCTTCAATAAACCTTAATATATGCCCTTTTACACTTTTGTACAACACCACTAAAGCCGAGTTAAGACCAATCTTATGACCTATTTCGATTAAATGTTTGGGAATAGAAGATGATGGATGTTTATTCTCTGCTATTATCGGGCCATTTGATTCTATTTGTTTCTGTAACCATTTTGGTACATGGTTCACACACCTTGATTTTCAGATCATGATTGCTCCTCCCTATGTATGTGTGACCACACACACACACATTTAAATTGGTAAACGCAATGGGATGTGACACAATCGTTTTCATGTTTTTTTTAGGTTTTGAATGAAGCATGGACCACTTAATCTTCTTTATCCGCCATAATAATAATAATAATAATAATAATAATAATAATAAAACTTCTAACTGATTTCCTTAAACAATCCATATTCTTACAACAGTTTATTATTAACCTCATTTTTTCTTTGTGTACTATTGTAAATTAAATAAAAAACTATTTTTACGTTAATCTAATTACAATTGGGAAAAAGAAACACATACATCAATCAATATAATAATAATCAATCTCAAAAAGATAATATTAATAATACTAATAACATACGTTTGTTTAAAACATTCGATTATTATCTAATATTATTCCCACGATAAGTATAAATTTTAAATTAAAGGGGATTATAACAAATATTTAAAGTTTATTTATCTATATATTATTGATTCATTAATTTAAAATTTATATATATATATATATATATATATATTAATGCCTTTCCATAGATGAAAAAGGAAACTCTTTTTAAATAAGGATGAATTTATTAAATTCAAATATAATTTCAAATGATATAAATTTATCGAAATATTTTAATCGAACGAATACAATTTTAGGTAAGTATCATAAAATATATTTACAATATATTCTGATCATTTATCTTACAATTTGATTTCACCTATAAATCGATTCAATTTAACACTACATATTAGTCATCCCAAAAACGATTAGATCTTATTTTATATGACAAACAACAATCCTTGATTCACATATTACAGTTTCTTAAATTGATGTACTCTGCCTTAAACTTGGCCAATTTTCTTTTATGGATTATTAATTTATAATTTGTAGAACCTGATAAGAAATTATTGAAAAGAATATACTTCGTTCATATAATTGTGTTTTAATTAACTGAGTATGTATATTATTAACACATAAGATTTTGTTTAACGTTAAGGTATAATTAAGTATCCTAGAAACATTATTTCTTTTTGATAATGCTTTTTCTTAATCTATATAAATGAATTTATTATTATCAGAAGCGGTTTTGTGGAGATTTAGTATTTTCATAGTTGAAAGCATGGGTTAATTGAAGCTAGACCACCATGAAAAATCTGGAAGCACTGGACAGCCGTTTCGTCTTAGTATGGAACTCCTCAGCAGTGCGCATACATGACCTCGCTTCGCGTGATTCGAACCCAGGACCTACCAGTCTCGCGCCAGAGCAGTTAATCGATAGACCATTGAGCACAATAGGACGAAATGGCCGTCCAGTGCTTCCAACTATGAGAATTTATTGTTGTTATAAGAACAAAATTAATTATTGTTCAAACTTTTAAATAAAATTACAAAATGATAACTGTTAAAAAGAGTTAAGAAAAGAAAAATAATAAGCTCAGGTAACTTTTATTTAATTAATTATTCATTATTCAACAATTTTTTCAGTACCTATATATATATATATATAGTCCCGATGGAAAACTAACTTCTTGTGCATTTATTGTTCATGGATTTCGTGGATTGGTTGAAGTTAAACTTTAACACCGTTAGATGCAGGCTCAATGGTCTAGAGGTTAATAGTTTGCTTGCTAGATCGATATATCCTGAGTTCGTATCCCACGGATGGGATCATGGATGCGCACTGCTGAGGAGTTCCATACTAAGACGAAACGGCCTTCCAGTGCTTCCAAGTTTTCCATGGTGTTTTAGACTTAAATGACTTACGAATTTAACTATTAAATTTATTATTCTGTTGTCTTTTACCGTCCCTAAATTACAGTTGACTAATTATAAATGCTCTAATCATCTATGCATAAAAAGCATCTTAGCTATGTAAATATTGATTTTTATCATTCTAATGTCTTATGGCTTAGCATTTTGCTTTTTTTGTTGTTATTAGTTATGTCTGAATAATAAAGGGTACTTATAGACTCTCATCTGTCTCTCCTAATCTTCTGACTGGAGATTTGAAAAAGTGAAAATTTGCGAGATCTATTGATTGTATGATGAATTTCGTAACGGGATTAGTAGACATATTGTGTCATAGGTAAGAACAGAACGAAATGCATGCATTAACGGATAGTGTTTGATTATGGAGATGACTGAGTAAGTAGTTATAGAGTTTTGAAATGCACTGAGACTGTTATGACATAATTTTCATATGATTTGTAGTTAGTGTAAACTTGAAGTTAAAACTAATTATAACTTTTCTACTCAGGGATACTATTGCAGAAGATAATGTATTTGCTAATAACCATCGAAATATGTTATTGAATTTTGATATGGTCTATTAATACCTCTAAGTTAATAACTCATAAACTCATAAACATCGTGATTATATTTTTTGCACACAACAGACAGTTTATGAAAACCTTTGGTTCGAACAGCAGAAGTTCAAATACAAGTAAAATGCCATGCTGAAATCTGCCATAATTTTTAAATATTAGCAGTTGCATAAATAAGGCACATTCAGTAGAAAACTGAGTAACTTATTTATGATCATGTAGTTAGTAGTTTTGGAATGATAGGATATACGACAGTAAATAATAGGACAGAAAAAGCTTACAATTAGAATTATTAAACACTAGTTTTGATAAATATCCTTCAAATATTCAGATTAGTACACTAATAAATGATGAAGTTGTACAGTTCCTTTTTATCAGGCTACATTTACCATTAGTTGATTTACTGGTTTCAAGAAGGAATATTACTAATGCATAACAAAATAACTTGATTTCTAGATAATTGAGAATAATCCTAAAAGAAAGTTTTTGAAGATTACTAGGTCAAAAATTCGAAGGAAAGAGAAGAATTAATATGTTCATCCTAATGCGATTGATTCGGAAATAAATTATCTAAGGTTCTTCGTCACAGACTTAGTTATTTGAGGAACTAGAAGTAGAAACTATGTTCCTTGTGATACAGTTAACAATCTCAAGGGGATGATTTAAATTCTTGATTTGGCCAACTTTCTATTCACAATTAAATATTAATAAGATTTAATTTAATTATGATCCATATATGAATAGTTTTATAAATGAAATATATATTTTTAAATCTTGATTTTACTTTGAATTTATTTATTTGAAAGGAAGCGGTACATTATCCTCAAATTATAATAATCATTTAAATAAAACAATTAAACGTGTAACATTGAAAATTGATGTATCGCATACAAATCATAGTCATATAATTGGTCGTTATGGATGGAATATTAAGACAATCATGATGAGTACACAATGTCGCATACATTTTCCAGATTCAAATCGTAATAGTTCAATAATTAAAAGTAATCAAGTTTCAATAACTGGTCAGTTGGAGAATGTGGAGAAGGCTAGAAGAATAATTCGAGTATGTTGAATTATTTAAATTTTTAAGAATATGATACTTATGACTGATTAATTTGGTTATTTAATATACCTTTATCAGGGTTAATTTTTAGTTTAATTAGATACTATATTTAATCTATCATTGACTTATTCAGGTTATTAGAAAATAATGGTGTTGATTAATCAATGAACTATAAGAAACGATATTTATCCTACCAACTATTCAGTAGATCTTTGGTAAAAATACCACTAAGGTATATGAAATATTTTACTAGACAAGCGAATAATAAACATAGAATCTCAGTGATAACTCCATCCCAGATAGATTTAAGTAATAAATACATTATATTTATGAGAATAATTGCAGAAGCCATATCGATTTGCAAGAATGATCAGGATGATACAGAAACATATTTAACATGTAAATAACATAGATACAGTGGTAAATTACTTGAGTCGGCATTGTTCATAAATTGTTTTGAAAGGGCATTTGTATCAGGGATTAATTATAAAAAATATGAAGCGATAGTTGGAAACCAGTATTTTCTTAATAGGAGGTCTAAGAAATCCTTAAGAAACATGATTAATGTATCGAAGAGTGATCACAGTGCCGTTAAATAGTATTTATAATCATGTACAGCTAGAGAGGAGAAAATCCGAACGGAAAGTAAGGGACAAAAACGGTAAAAATCAATGTAATAGGTCTGTCATTGTATGTGCGTGTAATTGTTTTGTGATCTGCTGATCAAAGTTTGTCTAAGAGTAAAATATCAGAGACAAGAGGAGCTTTGTAAGAATACGCAATAATAAGCGTGATGAATCATAGTGTTGCTACACTTTTATTATTGGAGTTAAATATAGCCGCTGGTGTTTATTGTTTTTTTTTGGCAGTGTTAAGGTCATGACTTCATTAATTTGAGTAAAAGTGAAAGACATAGACTGAATAGAGTTACAGGTTATGTGTGCGACTTCTAATCTAATATTATCTAGAAGCCTGTTACTGGCCACAAAAACACCACTGAAAAGATTAACAGTGGTTTATAATCATTTATAAATGAGTCAATATACAAGATTCATTCTAATGTGATCTAAAGCGTCTATTGATAAGAAGAACCAAGATCTATACTTTTGAACTATAACTAAGTACTAGATATTATTCACTGATGACTTTAAGCTTATAAGTTTTTTGATTTGGATAAATTAGGTTAGTTTCTTGCCATACTTTACTGACATATGTAAACCATTAAGCTTAATAGCCCTATACGCTTTCACAAGTGTATTGGGATCTAAGTATGAGTTATTGATTTAATAAAATATGTCCAGTGTATTTATAAGACTATTGCTCGAGAATTTTTCTTAACCTGAACATCTTAACAGAGTTCCCTGGATTACTCAGTTTACACATTTTTAGATCCAATATTGACCAGATTTTGTAAAGGAAAAAAGTTATTGGAGGTGTTGCTAATAATAGTAACAGCAAAGGTAATTAACGTAGTGACCATAAAATAAAGTTCTTGATTAAATTGTACAGATAATGGGATAATATCTCTACAGAAAATTAGGTGGAGGATTTTATTATGTCCTGTTAGTGCTCAAACCCATTGGGATCAGTACTGGATATCTAGTATTGCTGAGATTTCTTCATTAAATGACTGACCTCTGCCAGTAGTCTAATTTACTTCAATGTATCTAACGTCTCCTGTTATGACTTTGGCTTCAAAAATATGATCGTCAACAGTGGTTGAAGTGTCTGGAGACCTGTATACACAAACTCACAGTAGACTATAAATCGAAGTGTTAACTGAGACCCAAATCGATGATGGCAAGTTGTTGAGAACACTGTCTTCAATTTAACTAGTAGCTACACAATCAAGGGCATATACTAGATAAATACTTTTATTTTTATTCTCACTATCAAACCTATGTAGAATGTAGTTCTGAATATTTAATTTTGGGTTAGAAACTGAAGAAGAGTACCACGATCTTATCATAACCATTTTTCTTCAGGATTTCCTTCCAATTACATTTACATTCGAAATACCTTATTTAAACAATGAAAATTTACTTATCAATCAGAATTCATTGGTTATTCAACAAATTCAAAATGTTTATGGTGTTGAAATAACATTTCGTAATCATTATACATTAACACCGTATCGTAAGACAACTGTTAGTGTTAAAGGATTAACTAGCAATGCAAAAAAGAGTAAAACTGTTGTACATATGTTAATTAAGAAATACTATGCTCAGAATATGGTAAGTGTTCTTTATCATTGTAAGTTATTAAGATTATTTTCAACACTTTGAAGTAGTAATATTTAATAGATTTATGCCCCTTGAAGTAATTTGAAGTTCAATGAAAAAGTAGAAGACAACTAAGTCGTAGCAGAATCTAAAACTGTATTTTTTAGTCTATTAGTAAAACAGAACGGTGATGCAACAAGATATTGTTTCTATTGCGTTGTGTTTATTGATACGTAAATGCTGGATTTCAATTTATTAAACAAGGAAATGAAATGTTAGTAATTCAATTATCTTTTTCACGAAGTAATGTCATCATGTTTAATTAGTGAAATAGTAAACCCATGAAATACATTCAACTTACAATTCTTAAGAATTTAAAATGTGAACAATTTTCATATTGTGATTTAGAATAACATCTATAAGCGAACGATATCGCTTTCGTTTAGATTCTAATCAGGCTTTACTATATTGAGAAGCCGTAGCCAGTAGAGGTCAACCAGGTCTGTTGTGAGATAGTAACTCACTGAAGACAATGGTGGATCTGTTGCTCAATTTTGTGGATTGGTTGAAGTTAGACATTAGCAACGTTAGATGCCGGCTCAGTGGTCTAGAGGTTAAGCGTTTGTGTACGAGATCGATAGATCCTGGGTTCGAATCTGGCAGGTGGGATCATGGATGCGCACTGTTGAGGAGTCCCATACTAAGACGAAACGACTATCCAGTACTTCCAAATATTCCATGGTGCTCTAGCTTTAAATGACTTATGAACTCAAATATGTAGTAAGAAGTGTTCAGATAATTGGACCGTAAATGTATATCTGGGAAAAAAAGGGTCGGAGGGGGTGAAGAAAAATAAACGAAGAAAGAGTATGGAAAATAATAAATAAAATCATTTATTAAGTCCAAGGAAGAAATAAAGGTGCTACAAATTTCTTATGAACACAAAGATTGTGATTGTTAGCTCGAACTTCTATAGCTTCTGCTATATGTAAGAGACGAGATCGAACGCCCTAAGGGAATCTAGTAAGGATACGATAAATAACTTTAAATGACTTGTTTCTATCCATCACATGACCACTATCGATCAATTGTGATAGAACTGAGCCGCATCTTGTCTTGACAGTACCTTCTTCTAACCATGAAGTGTGATGTTTACTAACTCTTTGTCTCAGTTGTCCAGTAGTATGCCCAATATATCTTTCTCCACAGGAGCAGCTTATATATGTTGTTCTATATTTAAAATGGTTAAATTTAAATTTGAATAAGTCACAGAGTATCAGGAAGCAGTTCATTAATTTTAGAAAATTGTTTCACTAAATAAATTGACTGAAAAACCAATTTAAAGTTTGGAAACTAGAAAGAATTTTTTTATTAAATTTGTCACCATTATTGTTTAGTTCATTTTAAAAGATACTTTTACTCATCACTTCCTTCATAATATTTTATGATTAATTATACATAATAATCTTTCAATTTAATTATTAACTTTTGTATACACTTTTTTCTTTTAAAAAAATAAGGATTTTATCCCAGTCAATATGTATATTAACATGGATACAAAACATTCATTCATGTTATGTAATCAAATTTCATCTAAAAATTTAATCAAATTAATTCATGAAACAACTGGTGCAAATGTGAATTTTGTTTCTTCTATTCATTCAATTACAAATTCTTCTTGTTCATCATCATCATCATCATTATTATTCAATAAACAATTAAATTCTATTGATTATTTTTCTAATTATTTAAATAAAAATGAAAATTTAAATTTTTATAAATTAAATTTAAATAATCATTTATTAAATCAATCAATGAATAAAAAATTAAATCTTATTCATATATATGGCAATGTTGATAATGTATTTTTAGCTAGACAATTAATAACGGTAAGTAATAATAGAGATTATTTAAGTAGTTATTATCTATCCTATCCCATCAGTCAGTCAGTCAGCTACAACGTAGGAGCAGGCACATATATGCATCGGCGATCATACCACGTTGAAAGCACCGGTTCTCTTCCGATCCTATCCCACACACATGAACGAATACAAACGAAGATAACTAATGTAGCGGTAGTCTCCGCATCAATAGGCCTCAACATACATAAAAGTAAAAGCAAGATTCTCAAATACAATATGGAGAATATCAAGCCAATCACATTTGATGGAGAAACTCTGGAAGATGTGGAAACATTCAAGTACCTGGGAAGCATCGTTGATAAACAAGGAGGATCGGATGCAGATGTAAAGGAGAGGATTGGCAAGGCAAGGACAGCATTCCTACAATAAAAGAACATATAGAACTCGAAACAACTGTCAACTAATATCAAAGTGAGAATCTTCAATATGAACAACAAGACAGTCAGTTTTACAGTATGGAGCTGAAATGTGGAGAACTACTACATCCATCGTCAAGAGGGTACAAGTATTTATAAACAGTTGTCTACGCAAAATACTCAACATGCACTGGCCGGATACTATCAGCAACAGCGTTTTATGGGAGAGGACAAACCAGCTTCCAGCTGAAGAAGAAATTAGGAAAAGACATTGGAAGTGGATAGGACATACATTGAGGAGATCACCAAACTGCATGACGAGGCAAGCCCTAACTTGGAATGGTGAAGGGAAGCAAAAAAAGGCCAAAGAACACATTACATTGGGAAATAGAAGCAGATATGAAAAGGATGAATGTTAACCGGAAAGAACTGGAAAGGACTGCCCAGGACAGGATTGGATGGAGAATGCTGGTGTGCGGCCTATGCTCCTCCATGAGGGGGAACAGAAGTAAGTTAGTAATCATAATTGTAAAAATTATTTACTAAGGTAATTTCTAATGAATAAATTATAATTTAAAAGTTAGTCTGCAACGTAAACTAAAATTAACTAAATGAGTTAATAGAGACAAATGAGGTTCTGAAAAGTTGGTTTCCTCTTTTTAATAGTTCTATATGACAAAATGACTGTGATCAGAAATGTGAATAATTGAATTTCAACTTGGTTATTTGAGAATATCATTACTAGTCTTAATTTTACAGTGAATTATGGTTCAACCGGCTAAAGAAAAACCAGAAAATAGAACAAAACAGTTTTTCGGTGATTTCTAGTTTCCCTTTTTTAGCTTAGCTTCTAAAAGGTTTTAGTTAATGATGAAAATCACTTTCAAATAGCAACATACTGGATTATCAGGAAATAATTTTTTTTTGAAAAAAAGTAATGTTATATCTAGGGCTTTGATTCTTACTATGTCGCGTACTACTAGACTACTTGAACGATCGAACCCTCAACGTTGCAAGAGAGAAGACAGAAGATTAGTAGGTAGGAACTTTGTTCCCCAAAACAGTGTCAAAATATGGTACAGAAATCTCATATATTTATAGTTCTTGACTGAGAGTAAATCATCATTTCAGACAACCAATAGGCACATAGGGGATCATTCGTATCCATCAAACGGGGAAGCTACACGTTGACATTCTAGAATATTCCCCTAGCAGTGATCGGATGGAATGTCTTCGGCTCTTTCTGGCCTTCTTGAGGCTTCCTAGAGTTTACCAACGAGCCGTCCTTACACCTCCCCCCTTTGAAGTCTGTGACGTATGAATTTCTTTTAGGATCTACTTGAAACATTTTTGTTGTTCTTCTTTTTCTGTTCATCGCACTTATCGGCTGTGCGTTTTCACTCTTACGTTTTTCAAGTCGTTGATTGGGGCATTCCTTCGGGCTTTTCTGCGTTAAATCCACCGGCATTTGGAACGGCAGTTGTGTATCTATTGTTGCTGTTCTATGATCCTTCTTTATCTGATTAATATGTCTGGTACACTTTCTGTCCCTTCCACGGACTGAATAAAGTACCTTCCCGATACGCCGTTTTATGACACCTGGTTCCCATTTCCGACCGCCTTGATACCACTTTACAAGCACTTTCTCACCTACCTTCAAGCTGTGGTCGCTCGTCTGGTACTCGAGTACAGGTTTTCTTGTTTTCTTGGGTGGCAATATTTTGTCAAATATCGCTGGAACTTCAGCTTCAGCTTCTCTTGCGGCAATGAGTACGTCTTCTTCATGTTTTGCCTGGGAACCAATCAGCCTTGAGAGTGCTTCAGATCTCACCCGACTACATATATGATTAATTGGCTGGTTAGCCAACTGTAAACTGTTGAAAAAAGGACTTTGAAACTCTTTGGCTCATGTGGCTTCTTTTGTGTCCTCCATCTAACTGTCTGTACTTGATAATCAGGAACCATTGTAATACCAACAATGAGAAACAAAAACACGAAGAATATCACTGTCATACTGATTGAAAGTTTACACCTATCAAACATATTAATCTGAAATAATGTTACTCTAGAGTATATAAAATAAAGAAATTACTAACTAAAATGTTACGCAAAGGATTAAAACGAATATTAAAATTACACACTGGAAATTAAACTAATTTCACTGAGTTAAGGAATACTCGACTTCTCTTGGCAACTTATTAGAAATTTATTTTTGAACTAATAAAATTTTGAGACTGTTTATTTGAGTAATTGGATTGATAGTTAGATATAATAATCAAGACCATAGTTTTATCATCCAGAACAATAAATATAATCTTTTTTAAAGAAATAATTTAAAAATCCCAGAATTGTCATCGACTATGAAAAGAGTGAAACAAATTATTTACATAATGGCAGAGAATAGGCCGCTCACCAGCATTCTCCATCCAAATGTGTCCTGGACAATCCTGTCCAGTTGCTATTGATCCTTCTCATGCCTGTTTCCAATTCCCGAAGTCGTGGATTCTTTGGCCTTCTTCATTTCCATTTCCCTTCAGAATTCCAAGTTAGCGCTTGCTACCTGAATACAAACACTATATTGTTAAAACAGACGCTGTAAATGATAATCAGTAGATATGAGGGACTTCTGTTCTTTGGATAGATATACGTTTGAATAATTCAACCTGTGAATTACCTATCATATATCCTTTAGCCTTCGTTTTTCAAAATTATATATATATATTAATTTAAATGTATGAATATCATATTTTATCATCCATAGAATTTATTACCTGTTGTATTAATATTCGATGTGGACATAATACAAGGTGAATGGCTTGAAAATTTCAATTTTACTAATTTATGTCAATATTATGAAGTGAATTTAACTATTCGAAATAAACCAAAAGATTTAGTCAAGGTAAATTGGGTCTACATTTTAAAAATTTGAACCGTTTCATTAAATTATCATCATTATTACTATTACTAACATTATTATTATTCGTCAGCTGGATGTACCTGCATCTCAGAGTTGATGTTCACTCTGGAACTCGAACCCAGTAACTTTCGCTTCAAAAGCCATCGAGTTATCCACTCAGCCACTGAGTCCTGATAGCCACTTGCTTGTGCGATGGGGTGGAGTTGAAATTTATGTGCTGGAGATGATTATTAGCTCGACTATGAATCTCTTCATGATATATATATGAATGTAAACAAAAACTGAAACTCTTTACTTCAAATTATTCGATAAATATAATCTTTATTCATCAACCTACCACAGACAAATCATTTGGATTGATTTTATTCCATGTCTCTGAAAATCTGTAGTTAAAATTTTTTGTTATATTGCAATTGACGAAAAATAGATTTAAAGTCCATCGAAATGATGAAAGAAATGTATTTTCCAAAATGATGGCTTAGTAGTTAATACATTCGGATTTCAATTAGTTAGTGACAGATTAGATTCCCATTACCTCTAATTTGGTGTCAGTATCCAGATAACATGGCTACTACTCACAAAAACATGTAAACAAACATGCACTTGAATATATATATATATATATATATATATATATATATATATATATATATATATATATACAGAGGGAGAGAAATTATCTAACCATTGTTCATCCATTCATATCTGGTCCAGATGTTGGAGAAAATCTACTATAGTATGAAATCAAAAGAACAGGTTGGATTTAGAACGAAAAAGGTGAGATCACCAAGTTAATTGGTAGAAGTATAGACTAAGAAACAACAGTGCTGATTCGATAATATGTTGACACAGAAACTAATAATCAGTTAAACATCTATCATGGTGACTATGTTCTGTTGTAACTAATGCAATTATAAACTTTGGTGGTTTTAAAAATGATAAGAAATTATGTTGGTCTTGTATTATAAGCTAACTAAAGGAGAAAGTGTGAAACATTGTATGCTATTCTAGTGGCTCGAAAATATTGTTTTCCATTTGATACCTAGTCTTTAGAATTAATTGTATGTTTGGACTGATAGCAAGTGTCAAACTAAGATGAAAGAAACTTTCCAGTGTTTCCTACTTTTTAATAACTGTCAAAATGTATATAGTTGATGTAAGCGAAACAAAATAAATACATCGTCTTATCCTGTCAATACTGTTCTCAATGAGTTTTTCAGATTAACGGAAGCTTGAGAACATGATGTAAAACATTCAGAAGTAAAAAATAGTGTATGTTTAAGACGACTGAGTCATCTATTATTGAAGTTTTTAATGTGAATATTGATATTTCAATATTTATCATTCATAATTTCAGTCTGTTGTAATCAAAACGACAGAGAAAAATATTCGTTCACTTTATGTAATGTGGGAATTAATACAAGATTTACTTTTACAATTTAGTAAGTCTTTATTAATATTAGTATTATAAACTGTTTTATACACCTGTAAATATAATCTATTTTTTTAGTTTGTAGTATGTTTTCTACTAATGAATCATAACGATAGTACACAATTATGTATGGAATTTCGATATTTACTCTATTTCCCTCTGGTAGATGATAATGCAAGGAAGTCTATTCATAAATTTAAACGTGACACTTCAAACTACATCATAATTTACTCTGTGACTAATTTTAGCTTCATATAAATAATAAGAGTATCTGGTAATGTGTAGTAAGCAAACAAATAAACTCTTAATTACAGTTTCCAGATTAATGCATATATGAAGTACATTTGATTCATTCAAAAAAAGTATTTGCTTTCTTAAAACTGTAATCTCTTGCCTTTTAACATTTCCTTTCAGGGTATTTTGTAAAAGCGGCGTCTGTCATTAATTAAAGATTTTGGTCGATGGTTTTCACTTCATATAAGATTCAATGGAAGCTCTGTTACTTTCCTTTACTTTATTACATACAGAGAAGACAAATATTTCTTACCAAAAAGTGCATGTTTTTAAACCGACCACCTTATGGTTAAGATGACTTCATTAATTCATTAGCAATATTCACACATTAGTTGACCTAACTTTATGATACTTAAATAGCAATTCAAGAAAATCCTGAAACAATACTAATCAGAAGCAAAGGTCATAAATTCTGACTCCATGTTTCTGTACATCAGACTTTGAGAATTCAGAATTGTACCAATGTTTCTCTAGACTAGATCAGCTCTTACTGTGAGAAGATTGGCCTCAACGGAATAATCATCAACAGATATCAAACATCTACTTTGATAAGGGAACTTCCTGACTATTTCCAACGGCTCACTACCAAAGTTGATTATTTGATCACGTTCCTATTAACAGTGGAAATTTATTCCAAATTTTAATGGTTTTAGACATACAATATACTTGTAAACTCTAATGGCTAATCAATAAAATGTGGCCTGAGTAACCAGTATATTTTTGCACAGCGAAAACTGTTATTTACGTTTCCCATGTCGAAAGGTTTTTCTCCACGTGAAAACTTATCCCGTCATTACAATTGGTTAGAACTGTTTCTGAAATATTGTTGACGTCATGGTTAAACAATAGTGATTTGGAACACTAAAGAAAGACGGTCGAATGCCATTACTATTTTTGAGACACTTATGTAACCAACTTTTAAGGTCTAAATAAATTTTTCAGATAGACGTTTTTTAAGACATAATTTTATAGGAAAATTTAGTCTAAAATATACAAGGCTTCCCTGATTTCAAGAAATAAAACGATGATAGGTCTAATAGTGGTTAAGATAATAAATGTATAAATAGCCTGAAAATCACCTTTCAGACTTTTAGCATTAAACAGGTAGTGTTAATAATATATAATACAATATTTTGTTTCTAATAGTCGCAAATTGAAATTTAAAAAAGTATTACATATATCGTACAGATTTTTTGGAGATGAACACATTACAGAAAGATCAGACACTCAATTAGTCTAACTTTTGAGCAATTCAAGTTACTCTATCATTAATATTCGACCCAATCTTCCCAGAATCTGGTAATAAAGTAGTAGCATTTTAATTCATACCCTGATACTCATGTAATCAGATGAATCGAAACTTGTCAGTTATAAAACACAGGACAGTGTGGTCTGAATGGATGGAGCTGTAAACTAGCTGATATTCATCTTAAAATACTTTGACAGCATTCTCGGTAAATATGAATAATCGTAATATATTCATCCCAAACCTTAGATGTCGCCTCACTGACTCCAAGATTTTTTATGTCAGTGGTAACATAAGTTTTAATGACCGAAAGCAACTAATACTTTTATATAAGTAAAAGTATCTGAATCTTGTCGTCTTTGTGTAAACTACATAGGACATTTAATATAGAGAAGTGACAAACACTTAAATTAACTGTCTTCAGGGAACAAATCGGCAGTGATCAAAAGGCTATAGAGAGACAACTTGGAGTCCTAGCTAACCAAATAAATATTTAAATAAACCACCAATAGCTCTATTTGTCCTTTTATGATAAATTTTTGCCGAACTTTTATACCGACCAGAAACACGTTATGGTCTGCATAGAATCGGTAGATAATTCCAGATATTCCACAGCCAAGTATTTCATCATTACTGGCCACTAGAAATTTTTGGGTTTATTTAAATGTTCTAACCTGAGCTTGCAAATTACTTATAGTAAGGACTCATTCTGGTCGGGAATGCCCTCACTATGGCAATTAAATAAACATCAACATCAGAAGATGCTTATTCTATTGGGTACAGAGATTGTATCCTAAGGGTGCTATGTAAGGTTTGACAACTGTAAATGATATAATGATTATGTCTGTCAAAGAAATTTATGTTATTAAACTATTTTAATTTGCCTGAATTTGTGTGAAACTTTATTTGGATAAATTAGCCACAAAATCCGCAACTTAACAAGTTACTCTATGGATTATCATTCAATTAATTATTGTTTGAATTACGAAAATTTGTACGCCTTTTTGTTTTTATTTAGCAAACAACAAAATATGTGAAATCAATAATTCTAGTTGTTTAAACTCATCGGCTTTCCGAATTCAAACGCAAAGATCATGGTCGGACGACATTCTTAAACCGAATGAAGAATCTACAAAAATTCTATCTTCTAAAAATAAGTATGTTTCGTCTTCACTTCTTTTTATCATTTATCATAAGAACTTATTTTATTTAGTGCAACAAAAATTAACTTCAGTTTTAGTTATAGACAGTTTAGACAAAATTACAAATGAAACGCAAATTATACAAAAGATTGCAAACAAATAGAAAAATCGACCTAGACTAGACCACCATTGGGGACCTAAATGCACTGGACGGCCGTTTGAGATTCCTCAGCAGTGAGCCTTCACGATCCCTCATGAGGGACTAGAACCTAGAACCCTCGGTCTCACGCGCAAACGCCTGATCTCTAGACCACTGAGCCGGGATCCAATGGTGTGAATGTCTAACATCAGTCGACCCGTGATCTTGCGCAACCTTGCATGGATGCTCACTGCTGAGGAGACCCATACTACGACAAAATGACCGTCCAGTATTTCCAGGTTTTCAGTGATGGGCTAGCTTAGATAGAATTGTGAATTCAACTGTCATAATGTTACAATCTCCACATTCCCCCTTACTGATAATTAACAAGCCATTTAATATGAAGTTGCATTTGGTATCAACACAGTTTGTACTGAAATTTTATAATTGAGATAGCTTTTTTCATAGGAGTGGTGAAAAATCAGCCTTTTAATTTGTGTCAATTAAAAATGATCAAAACGCATGTAGAATAATTAGGTTAGCGTTGGTTGATGACAGACTAGCCTGAGATTGATCTGAAGTTAGGAAAAGCAAACCATTAAGCTGTCACAAGATGAACAATTAAAACTCTACAACCTATAATTCTTCTATATGCTTCAAAACAGTATGCGTTTCCTAAAGATAAACACAATTGTTATTACCATTCTAATTACAACAGTTCATATTGTTTGTTTAAATACTGTCATCGATAATCTTATCACAAATTAATTCGCCAGAATGTTTATATACGAAACGAAAATAAGAAGGTTGAACCAATTATCCAATACCTAATATTAAAAATCAAAATCAATATTACCACGATAGATATCATGTAATCATGAACTGTTTTCGAAAATATAAGTTTTGTTTAAAATGTTATATGATTAGGGTTTCAACAAATTTCTGGCAACTGTTATATGCTGGCACAAGTCTTTTGTGAAGTTTCTATATTCAATTTGGTAATGGACGAAGATGGATTTTTGTCATATGCTCTTGCCAGATTGGCTGAATTTCTATTTGAGATCGTAATTATTTGGTTATGCGTTTAACTGTCGATATTTGCATACCCCGATTACTCTTCCATATGTATAAGTGTGCACAAACACGAACTTCACTTCTGAAAAGTTTCTTCCCTTCACAGAACGTCAGATGGAAAACTATGTATCATCAAATAATAGTCTTGCCTTGGCTTGAAAATAATCAGTAGAAACCCACGCCAGTGCAGTTTAACTAGACATAGGTATCGCTAATAATAATTATGGAATATTTCGAATTAGTTGAAACTAGAAATGTTTACTAACGAATTATAATTCGGTTGATTAAAAACAACACGCAAACAGCAAGACTCGAATTAGATTCGGCACGTAAATAGAAATGAAAGCAAGTATAATCTTTTAGCACATCATGGTTTTCGTTGCTTCACAAAATAACGTGAAACGATAATGAAAATCACAACTTCATACTAAAAAATCTTCTAAGATCGTTAGTCTTCCACATTTTCATCTTATTATTACATATAATGAACAGAAAACATAAATAAAGCCAATACTATATGCATGCTTCATTGTAATAAATCCAGGAGGAAAATACTTGGTAACAAAGAAGGCAATAAACTAAGTAGAGAAGAGATACTATTAAAATACACATCATTTTCAACAAGTGTATCACCAAGCCCATTGACATCGTTTTCATTATTTCATCATGATCCAATGAATCTAGTAAATAGAAATAACGATTTACGTTTGATGAGTTATGAATCAAATTCAAAACTTTTACCAACGTTCGAACACAATGGTGAATGGAATAAATGTGGGGATTTTGAAGAAAACATTAATTTTTACGCACAGAAAAAGTAGGTTGAATCAAAGTGTTTTATTTGGAGTTATATATTTTTCTGATAGTATAATCCCAATAAAGTGCCGGCATAGATATCTCTGTTAATTTATATGATGTGTGACACATGTGATATTTCATTGCATTGAACAATCGATTGTTATACTATGTGGGAATCCAGTTCGAAATCTTCTATTGCCGTGAAAAATAAATAAAAGGCTGGTAACAGAGGACAGTTACACATAGGTATGGAATCATTTCTTTATGGTCTATCTAACATTTGAGGCTCAGCTGTTAATTGTTATGAATAACACATCATTCAAATAGGTCGAAAGAATAAATCATTCATGATTATGAGATGATACTGAAAACAGTATATTTTTTAACCAGAGTAGAAGTACATATTATCACGCTTAATTATTAGCTAAAGCAAATCATGGGAGTAAACACCAAGTCATCGGCCATAGTTTTAAATTCAATGGTTTAGGTCGATGAAGTGCTATGATGTGGCTTATAATCTATCGTAATGGTAAGCATATATTCACCAGTATTTTCTATATTATTCAGTTGTTTCACGTTTGTATGTCATTTGATTTTCTCTCTGCGTGAAAACGAAGTTTACTGTTTTGAACAGACTAATAATTTATTAACAGGACAGTTAGACAATTTATGGATTCTAATAGTGATAGAATAGGACGAAAGATATATTTAAATAGGAATAATATATTTGTAAAATCTCAGCGAATGAATTTGTAGTAAATCCAACGTTTCGCCTGGCAATCTGGTCCAAGCTTTTTCAAGGAATTATGAAAGATATATTTATCCTCAAATAGTGTTCGCCGTGTTTTTAAAATCAGATATTAAAAACTACGTTATTATGTAGTTTTACTGACCACTTAAACATAGTCAATTTAAAATCGAGTAATGAAAGTTAGTAAAAGGAATAATTTAGAAACATATCACTGACTTTTGAATGAAAAGTAATAACTTCTACGATACTTTACGAAAACTCCCGAATTGATCCTTAGTCGAATCATAAATAAAATATCTTAAAGGCCATTAGGACAGAAAGTCATTTATTTCACTTTTTACAGTAATTTAGACGCATTTATCGTAACTCCAAATAGCATACTTGTAAAATTTATCAAGATATAAAAAGAGGCTAGTTATCTCAACGTTTAATTTAAATGTACAGGTTCTGATGAATCAAACCGGCGAAATAATACTTAGTTAAACCTATTACACTTTGTGCAGCCCAAGCCACCGATCAGGTATCTTCAAGCTTCTCTTCCCGGCTGTTTCCAATTACTATTTATTCTCTTGATGTTTGTCTCATATTCCCAGTACCATGTATTTGGTGGTCTGTTTCTTTTTCTTTTACCTTGGTTATTTTAAGTTAGGACTTGCCGTGGGATTCAGTTTGATGGTTTCCATAATGTGTCCTATCCACCTAAAAAACCTATTCGTAATTTTTTCTTCAGCTGGTAGGGGATTTTTTCTCTGCTAGAGTAGGTTAATACTAATGGTGCCTAGCTAATACTTGCAGAGTATCACGTGTAGACAGTTGTTTATAAATACTTGTGCACTATCGGTGATGGTAATTCCGGAAGTCTCATCTTTTTACGATGGAACTGCTTTTACATAAGTGCTGAAAATTCTGACCTTGGTCTTGAGTGACGACTGTTTTGTTCCAGATATTCAATTGTAGGAATGCTGCATTTGCTTAGTCAATTTGTGCCTTGATATTTGAATCAGATTTTGTTTGTCAGTGATGCTTTCTAGGTAGCCAAAGACTTCCACCCGTTCAAGAGCAGTCATCAATACCGATATGGCTGGCGCTTAACAAGTTGTACTTTGGGATCTTGATTTTTCTCTTGTGTGTTAAGGAGCGCTACTGCAGACGCCGCTGGTTAACTGACCTTCCGACTGTATTTGTTGTTATGTGAAGAGGTTATTCACCTTCCAATTCCAAAGCCTCCAGCTACGTCCAAGATATCCACAATATCCCATGCTTCTCCTGGGATGTAGTGGTTTTCATAATCCATTCAGCGACAAGCAGAAAGATAGAAAACACAAATTAGATAAACTTTCATAGGCGAGTCCTTATAATTTTGATGGAGTTTTGTTCTCTAAGCTGGATGGTTTGGTCGTGGAGCTATCATCGTTCCTCTGAACGAAATCATCAGCACAAACTTGAGCTACAAATCCTCTCCACCATCTCAGAGTCTTTATAATCTTCGTTGCCATCACTGGTGGGTTTATAGAAGGAGCATGACATTCACTATAATCCTTTCCATCGTTGTTTTGAAGAATATTTTGATGATTTAAAACCGTCGGTTTTTCATCTTATAAGTGCTTTCTGTGACAATTTGGATAGCATCAGTGTAACTCCTTGTGTAGGGGTCATTTTCTTCATGAGCGGAATATAAAATCCTTCCTGGAGTTAGCCTTTCGTGTTGAGTTTGTGTCCAATGAGTTACACTTATTCCAATCACTTCCAGACCACATCTCGGTTCTGCAGCTATTTGGAAGAACCAACTTTATTGAATAACAGTAGATGTAGATGCAATCCGGACTTATACTAACAATTCACTAATTGATCGAGCTAAGATAATACAGAGATCCCATAAGTTGTGTTCAAAGTTCGTAGTAGACCCCATTTTCTGAAATCCTTTATTCGAGAAACCTATATGTACTAAATAGGTAACAAAAAATTTAACCGAGAAAGAGTATGATTCACGAGAATAGTTTAAAAAAATAAGCATTAGGCAATGTTCAAGAAGAAAAAAAAAGGGAAGATAAATCATCTATGGCTAATAACAAGTGATTTTCACAAAAGTATGAGATATCTGTTCAGCACATCAACTAGTTTGTAGCACAAGTTACTACAAATAGGGACTTTATTGTGATAAATGAATAAGTCTATGGAAAGATATAGCATAAGTACTTTGAACTTTTCTGACTATTTATATGAATAAATAGATGATGGAGTATTTTTAATGAATTAAGGTGCAAACCTGTGGTGCATAAGTTGAAAGACAAGTGCTTTATTCTCTCTCTCTCTCTCTATATATATATATATATATATATTTCTAACCTTCAATAAACAGTTTAAACATTATTTATTTCTCTTTCTGAAAAAACAAACAAACAGATTCATTGAAGAAAGTAATGGAAACTCTTAAAAAACAAGTTTAAAGGTTTACTATTGGTGTTTATGTTGTTTTGATGTGGAAGACAAAGCGACAGTTTCGATAGTTCTTTTGTTTTCTGGATAAAAAGATTTTTAAAAAAAATACTACATAGCATTTATTATTAATTATTCAATTAGACAATATTTTTATCATTTTACATACAAATTGATTATTTCACTCTAAAAAGTGTTTTAATGTTGATGTGGACAATATTATTATTATTATTACACATAATGATAGTAGAAAACAAGTGGATACAACTAACGAATCATAATGTTAAACGATATGTTATTTTATTTCTTTCATAGACAAGAGGTAACTTTTGTTCTAAAATCGAGAATTAAGAAATCCTTTATTTACCTTCTTCATTTCAATAATATTCAGCACTGTACACTATGTTTCAGCAATAAATTAAAAGAATTATTGCTTAAGTTAAATACCTAATTACCATAAAGGTTGACAAGTAATATATATTTTCCTTTATCTACGTATAAACTCATAGTAATGATAATAATGACAACGTATAATCGAAGACTAACTTCAGTCTATTAATGATGGTTCTGCTGCGATTGATTTTTTTTTACAAAAAAAACAGTAAGTGAGGTACAGAAAGAGAGGGAGAGAGCAAAAGAAACACACAAAAAATTGTGAACATAGATACTATCACGTCTTTTTCAAATCAATATCAGTAATAATAGTGAATACATTTGTTAATTGATTTATTCTATTCACATTATTTTATAACATAAAAATTATTCCCTTTTTTAATTAAATATGTTTTGAATATAATTGTTATGGTTAAGAAGAAATAAAATGAATAGTTTATAACAAAATATATTTATTTTACAATTTTTTTTTATAAAATAAAAAATAAAAATCAACTTCCAAGTGAAATTAAAATTATGTTGATAGAATTGAACGATTCCAATTATCTTGAAATATAAGTCGAATCTATTATAAGAGAATAATAAAATTAATAAAAGAAAATCATTACCTTTTGTTCAAATTTTTAAATTTATAAAAATTTATATATAAATTTATATACTTACTTATGCCTGTTACTCTCAATGGAGCACAGGCTGCCGATCAGCACTTTCCAACCCACTCTAACCTAGGCCTTCTTTTCTAGTTCTATTCATTCGTTATTCATTCTCCTATCTGTTTCCATTTCTCGGCGTAATGTGTTCTTTGGTCTTCCTCTTCTCCTTTGGCCTTGAGAATTTCAAGTGAGGGTTTGCCTTGTGATACAGTTGGGTGATTTCCTCAATGTGAGTCCTATCCACTTCCAGCGCTTCTTCCTGCTTTCTTCCTCCACCAGATGGAATCTGGTTTGCTATCTTTCACAGTAGGTTGTTGCTGATAGTGTCTGGTCAACGGATCCGAAGTATATTGCGTAGACAACTGTTAATAAACACCTGTATCTTCTAAATGATGGCTTCCGTAGTTCTCCAGGTTTTCGCACAATACAGTAGAACTGTTTTGATATTTGTACTGAAAATTCTGTTGGTTGACAATTGTTTTGAATTCCAGATGTTCATCAGTTGTAAATATGCTGCTCTCACTTTGCTGATCCTCGCTCTCACATCTGCATCAGATCCACCATGTTCATCGATGATGCTGCGCAAATATGTTTGCACATCCTCCAAAGCTTCTCTGTCAAGTGTAGTTCGATTGGTGAATGTTGTACTGTATCGGAGAGTCTTGCTTTTCCCTTTATTTATATTGAGACCTACTATATATATATATATATATATATATATAATTCATCAAATCATTAAATGGTAGATTAAGAACCTTGAAAATCTAATTCAATCTGAATAATAAAAGGTAGTAATGCAGCTCATCGTACAAAAAAATTGTAGCTAACATTTCAGTATATGAATATGGGGACTTGAATATTGAATTACATAAATAATTAATTAAAACTACGAAAGTAATTGAATTTAAAAAATAAATGGGATTATCAATACGCGGTACACTCGTTCAAGACGTTAATAATGTAATTCATTAAATTAAGAGAGTATTTCTTATTTATGATGAGACCATGAACTGATCGATTTTGGAACACCAGTGACAATGTAGAAGCACTGGACAACTGTTTCGTCGTGCTGAGGAGTCCCTTTCTAGGTTCATGATGTCAATTATAAGTCGACAATCTCCACACCACTACTGAAAATGAGTAGTATTTCATGCTATCATTATTAAAATTACATAGGTACGCTGTGTGTAGTAAAGGTTGAACAAAATGACAAAACGTTACATTGAAGTGTACAGTTAAACCTTAATTTTGTAGTGCACTTGTTAGGAATTATAAACTGTGCAGTTAATAAATAAATTATATATTTGTAATATCCCAATGAGTAGAAAAATTAGATTTTCTGACGTTTCGTGACTCAGTGTAAGCCACTTCTTCAGAGAATAAATAACCAAGAAGAAGTGGCTTACACTGAGTCACGAAACGTCAGAAAATCTAATTTTTCTACTCATTGGGATATTACAAATATATAATTTATTTATAACAATCTACCCAATGCTCAATTTATTCAAAATTATCAAATCAAGTCTTGGTAATGTGCAGTTAATGTTTTGACAATTTAAGTACCTTCGTGTTTACAGGAAAAACCTAATTATAAATAGCTGAGTAATGTCATTGTTCTCAGTAGATTTTCTAAAAAACCAAATTACCGATCCAGATATTATTCAACAACCATTAAACTTCATCTATTCACAAAAATGTAAACTAACTCACGTTTTTTAACTTATCAGTTTATTTAAATAAACAAAATGGAGCAAAGTTAAACAGTGGCCTAATGTCTAGAAGGTTCAACTTTGAACTGCTAGGTTACAATGTTGATGCTTTATTTTCAGTATCTAAATCGCATCATACTAACCCTTATTCCAACGGACTTTTACCTTGATTTGTAATGGATAGACAAACTACTGTGACCAAGAACTTTCAGTTTAATGTAGACTTTGAGTCAGGCTATTGAGTTTCGAAAAGAGGAAATTATATCAGAACAGAACATTTATATGGTATATTGAGGAAGTCTAACATAAAATTAAGCTAAACAGTACAAATATATAAATCAATTTAATAATAATGCTGGAAATTTAAATAAAAGAATGATTTACTTGACTTTCCGTTGGACAACCGATTATCATACGATCTTCATCATTATAATGATCAGTTAACAATTGATACATAGATCTCCATTGTGATATAACACCTGATTGAATACGACGTAATAAAATATTTTCTGTATCTGGATTAGCTAGATAAATATGTAAACATTTCCGTAAATTTGGCACACTATTGTGATTTACTGTATCAGGACGATTTGAACTAGAACTACGACCAAGTGCTATACAGAGTAATCGGTGCGCATTCGAAACTATTTCCTTTATGTATGATGGATTTGCAAACGGTTGGTCAGCAAGACGTGCACCTGGTGCGGCTAGAATTGAATGAGCCTAGAAATTATTATAGAAAAAGAAATTTGGAAATTACTCAAAGAATGTTCTATGAGTTAAAGAAATGTTTTTACAGAATTTGGCAACCCAATCCAAAAAATAACTGCTGCATATTTGAGCCAACTACAGTGCAGACCTCTTGTGAGATTGTATTAGGTACAAAGGTCAATCGGTGGGTAGTAACAGTAGCATACGTCACGAAATCTAGGTCTAAGTTTTAATTAAATTCCATCTCTTGATTTTAGTTATTTATCAATTAGTCCGTTTGCTTAGCAGGATTAAATTAAAATCATGGAATAGCATAATGTGCTGAATAATTTTCAAACTATTTAGTTATTTATTTTATTTATTTCAAGCAAATACACTGAAAAACATGTTTCTGGGGTTCGTTAAAAAAAGAAATTACATCACTTATTGACACATTACTACATACAACGACAGAAAAATCTTGTTTAAACAGAACTCGGTCAAGATAGGTCATGGTGATGATCCTATGGCCGTTTCATAGGTTTGTTTGCATAACTAGTTGTTGGATCGGAATCTTATTCCAGGTATGTCGATAATACTTTCATTATCTGTGACAGTATGCGTTGTATATGCTCTGTAATTTCAACAATGCTTATGAAAATATAAAGTTTACAAGGAAACATGAATACGATAAGCAGTTCAGTTGTTTAAACCTTATGATAAGAAGAAGAGATGATAAAACGATCAAGAAAATTACACATAAGAAAGAAATGTGGACAGAGGATTATTTAAGTGATAATAACTTTTACTCTGAGAGTTACATACGCTATCTGATCAAAGCCATTTTTCAAAGAGATGAGATTTCGTGCTCGAAATGAGTACACAAAGGATGAACTAGTCGTTACCAAAAAGAGTGTAATAAAAAATATATACCCTTGGAAATTTGTTATAAAATATAAGAAATGATATGCTAACCGATTGTAAACAATCACTAATCAGCAAATAACCTATGTTTTTATCCGTCTCGCATTAGGGGGGGGGAATGAGATTTCAGCCAAAATTGATGCAGCACTAAAAGAGCTTTCCTGCAGCTTAGTTGATTTCATCACACAGAACTAAATCCTCACTAAGTCATTCAAAAGTGGACCATATGACATCGTCTTTAGTTGCATTTCTGAATTTACATGTATACGTATATGTAATCCTCATCAAAGATTTCGAAACCTAACCTAAATGTACAGAAGGAAACTGTGATAAACCTCTTGTTGTCATGGTACATAGAACTGTAATCAAATAATTTTACTTACTACATAATCTTATTGATGCTCCAGAATTAACTTAACTTTAATTTTCACCACGCTAATCAATTATGTTGTTATCTATTATTTATCACTGTATAATCCTTGATTACATTCTATCGTTATTTTCTGTAACTACGTCTACTTTATTACTTAATTAGTTGTTATCGTTTTTTCGCAACATATAAATACGCGTCAATGTTATCCTTGACATCGAGTAGACAGAATGTGATTAGCAGTGGAATCCATCACACGCGTTTCGTCCTATTTGGGAATAATCAGTTGAATGTGTCTGCATCTCAGGGCAAAGCGTGCGTCCTGGATCCCACTTCTAGCCATATTTCATCTATTTTATATCAACTTGTGTCATAATAGGTATATTGAAGTAATTTGGACAGAATGCACATATGCCAACCAAGACTGATTGAATTTCATTCACAAATATCATCAACAATCGGATAATCTAAACCATTTCAATTTGGACGATATCGTTGTTGAATACTGTATATTGTATTGTTCTATATATTTATTATAATTTTAGGATTTATTTCAAACAACCATGTATCAGTTTCCCTAATCAAATTATAGTAAACCTTTATTTCTAATTACTGTAACCTTAAACTGTTTGTATCTGATGAATGAGAAGCGGTGAAATGGAATAGATTTATTTTATTCCGCAAATCTTGTTCTTCATTCTTTTTTTGAATTTACCAAAAGATTAAGTTGCATGAAATTACTTATGTGTATGTGAGGTGTTTTTTCCGAAATAGAAAAAAATTACCGTGACGTCACAATACAAAATCAATAATAATAATAATTTAATATTACACACCCGTTTAAGAAAATTTGACAGTTCACCGGTTAATTGTAAAACTTGTTGTTCAATAAGTAGTTCACAAGTATATTTTAATTGACTATCTAACTGACGTCTAGAATCTAATTCAATATCAATAGCATTTGGGGTTTCTAATAAAAATCGTAATAATGCATTTTCTTTATTTAATGAGAATAACCCAGTGCCTTTTTGTTCCCAAATACTGCGTGCTACATCTGTAAAACAATATACAACAAAAAAGATTATATGAAATTAAATAAATTACACAATTTGATGGATTATTTGATAAATATAGAACTTTACATGAGTATGATCTTCGATCTTGATTCCACCAAGAAGAATTAGTTTGCTCTAGGTTGCCAAAAATGTCTTGCCAACGAGCATGAAACCTATTTCTAGTATATCTTCTCGACTACTTCCAACCAAGTGACATTAAGGCATAGTGGATGGGACGTAGAATCACTTAAGTTAATGGCCACATTGCAATTCCATCGACTGTTGTTACTACACATCTACTCTTATTGCTTAGTATTCTTGAACACTACATCACTCAACACGTCCCCGAGTCAGAACATGGTTGGACAGTAATGTAAATATATTCCAAATAAACAAGGTTGGGTGGAAGTAAGAACTGCAATACAAAAAAGTTAGTATATTTATAACTTTTACATAAGAATATTCTAAAGTCTTCCCCAAGTACCCTCTAGCATTGAATGGCTAAGAAATAACCAACGACCATCCTGATAACATAAGTTAACGATAAGCAAAAATTAATGCATACGTGGATCGGCAATGTTGGAACTGCTTCAGAGCTATATCATCCACTAACGGCCTATGGATCCCTACGTGACATTAAGAAACATTCAATCACTTCTTCAGATGATGAATTGCTATATTTAGCTAAATTGAGATTAGAACAACACATATAAGCGAACAACATTGTCATCAGGTCTTATTCTAAAATACATGAATATTTATATGAAAATATTAAACCAATTAAGGCAATTTTATGAGTCGACGATCATACACGATAAGTAAAAAGCACAAATTGATGGTAAGAAGACGGTGTTCTAGTACTGATAGAAATGAAAAAATAAACGTACGAGTCAATAAGCAAAGATGAATGGTGGCTAGCAGTCCTAAACAACAATGGAAAGATACAAGCGAAAAATACCAGGTGAATTCAAACACAAGCGGGTGGCTTTCAGGACTCAGTAGTTAAGCGGCTAATGCGATGACATTTGAAGCGGACGGTACTGGGTTCGTGTCCCGGAGTGAGCACTAACTTTGGGACGCAGCTACGCCCAGTTGACGAGTCCTAAATGGGACGAAATGCGTGTCCTGGATTCCAATGCTAGCCGTCATCCTTATTTGCTTATAATGCTTATGATTTAAGACAATATCGAGGCAATCCGCACAAAATGTGCATATGCCAGTAAGAGACTGTTCCATTGCAGTCCTAAAAATCAATGGGAACATACAAACCAAACAACACCGAGTGTACTAGTCAATAGTTCAGCATAGGAGGTAGGTCAAAATTAGATAAATAGTCTTAAAATAATATTCACAAAGCATTATTAAAGTCACTTAATAAATGTGTAAATAGTTCGGTAGTGAAGAATGTGAACGAAAAGAGGCGGAAAATGACGAACAAATACGGGATGTGAAAAAATTATTAAAATTATTAATTAAATCATATACGGTCCGGGAAGGATAGAAGTGTCACGGATTTCATCTAAATGCATAAACTAGGGTTATAGATTTGGATTCCTATAGCTTCTGGTATATGTACGAGACAGGATTTGAAGCAATCTGCTCAAAATATTGACTGGTAATTAGAAGAAATCGGTTCATCATTCTAAGAGTAGAATACAATAATCGCGATAAATTAAAATACAACCCAAAAACAAAATATATAAAATACAACTACACAGGATAACTTACTTTTATAGGGAGAAAAATCTAAGCTAGTTTCTTTAACTAAAAATTCAATGCCGAATGGTACCATTTGTTCACGAAGTATTAACAGATGTTTGATAAGAAATAATTGACCATCAATGGTTGTCCGATGGAGACTAATTAAATCACTTGCTTTCACTAATGACTGAACGCACATAGATACACATTCTTGGGCTAAGCCACGAAAAGAATCAGCCTGAAAGTAAATGTGTGTAAGCCTCAATAAATAATACAACGTACATGTGTGTATGAATGTATGAATGACTGAATACGACAGCACAAAATCAAACAGTGAGAAAATGTCCCAGTGATCAAATTATTCGGCTATCAAGCAGTAGGTTTCGGGCTTGAACCTCATCTCACTTTAGTGTGAACTACCTGGTACTATCAAAAAGTGTAAACCAAAGCAGGATAAATAATAATCTGCACTTGATTAATGAGATTACATTAGTTTATTCTACGTGAACGCTATAAAGCTTTAGAGTAGGATGTCAATATCAACAAGAGAAAAAATGACTTTGTCTCCTGTTCAAAAGATACGTCAAATAAAGGTGAACGATTGATGGAAAGAACTGCATTTGGGACAAGTTGCCACATGTCGAAAAATTGAGAGGCAACTAAAAGGGAGACAGATTTTGATAATCGATTGGTCTAGAATGTTTAAACTTAGAGCGTTCTATGACAAGCTGACATATCATTGTCATAATTATAGAAACAAAAATGTTCACAAGGATTTATTGATGTATTGAGCTCAAAATTGACTACCAACAACCACTCTCTCTCCCATCGCAACTTAATATGCAACACAATAAACAAGATTATTGATCACTAAGTGACAGATTCTAGTGAATAGGATACGCAAAATGACAGAGTGCCTTCAAAAAATACAAAAAACATGTATTAAGTACATTATTTAAATATCTTTCATCAGTTGATATATTCTTACAACTCTGTTGTTACTTTATTTGCTCTCTATTTTCTTTCCTGTTCTCTTCAATTCAATCTTCTGTTGGCAGGCATTATACTTCCGATTGCCGCTACACACTGCTTAAATCTGTCCGTACAAGTAGCATGTACCACATATATAGTTTTTAATTTGATTTGCATTTACTTTCCATTTTCTTTTGGAACTAAAGTCCTAGAATCTTTTTATACCTTTTTTCTTTTCAACTATTACTGATACTGTTACTACTCCTACTACTATGGGATTATTGTTGATAATTTTATTTCGCTTTACTAATGTGGTGTGGCAAAACTAACCAATGAATAAATGTATCAGATCACACGTTGTTTATGACTGAATAATTGACCAAAGTTTAACTCTAAACCGCTACATCAACTGTTCGAATCAGCCTTACGCCACTGAAATTTGCATCTCTAATCAATGATATCAGTTGTCTTGATGAATCAAACCAGCAAAACTTACATTCTAATGCATATCGACAAAGTAGCGACAAGCGTTATTAATTTTTATATGATAAATATAATGGTTTTTATTTCCAGAATATATTTCCAATAGTTGCCTGAGAAAAAGTATGAACTTACATCTAGGCAACGACTGAGTTTTGAGAGACATACCAAAGTACGACGTACTGTTGGATACCACATACCATGTAAATCTGCTGGAGCTAAAGACATATTAAGTCCTGGTTGAATTGCTAGATCAGAATTAGTAGGTTTATCCTGTAAATTGGACTCGGAAGAATCACCTTCTGCGACAATTGCTTCGGAGTTTTCATGCTCCTTTTCTTTATCTGGTGAATTATTTGAATTAATAGGCATCGAAACACTTTTTGCTATGTCCTACAAATCCGTTAAATGATTAAAAAAAATGAAAATAGAGTGCACGACAATGGATAATATTTATTAAATATTACTATAGACAAGAATGGATAGAGCTATTAAGTTATTCCATAGAATCACTGATACAATTATTTTAGCATTAGTTTTAGATTAGCTAAATATACGAATCCGATGTACAAATGACATATGAAACGAGAAGATGGAAAAACATCTCAGTGGATAAATAAGATAGAAAGTTAATATAATTCAACTCAAAGAACGGAAATCTGTGTTGTACAATCCAGTCAAGTTATCGATAGATATTCAGACAGATAATTAGTGAGATTAATTAATTGTAAATGAGTACCTAACTGAACGATAGTCAATGTGAAGAGTTTAGATGAAATAATTTTAACTCCTACGTGATATTATAAGGTGTAATTAAAAAATATTAAGATCAAATATGTAATTTTGATTGTCCAGCATACTCTAGTAAAAAAATACAAATTATGTCCATGATTTACTTAGCTACAATAGTTTACATTTGGCAGATATAAATGAGCTGAGGTGGAAGAAAGTGATTTTTAGCATGGATTTCTTTTCGAAGCACTGCTAAATGAGATAAAATTTAGTATTGTAGATCGAATAAAACTACCTAAGACTGGAAACACATATGCCTTACTAGCGGGCCTGAAGAGCATAAACATAAGGTTTCGAGGGTTTCTATCACCCATCTCCAAACATACAATATTACAGCAAGTTTATCAATGGCTTTATTTATGTCCTTAAATACACTCAGTTTAAATGACAGGTTGAACATTTAAAAATACTTAGAACGTGGACTATATAAAACATGTGCTGGATTATATATATTCAGATAAAGTTTCCTTACGTTCATCATTTCCAATTTTTCAGGATACGAAAGATCTCCTGAGCTTGGAACAAAACCAAAAATTTGTGATTTAATATATATATGTGCTCGAAATATTAATCTTTCTTGAATATCAGCCAACAACATTCCACAAAGATCATTAAATGCCAGAATATCTGGTGCTTTAATTTAAAAGTACAAAATGGATAAATATATCTAATCCATAACAAATAAAAAGCATAACTATAAGATAATTTGAACATGATTGGTAAAGAATTTATCACCAACAAGGTTCACTTAACTTAAAAAAAATATTTTTCAAGGGAAGGTTTATGTACTCGGCTATGACGAAAGAGTTACTAACAATTTCCATCCATATACATATGATGAACAGTATGGAAATATTACTGTAGGTTAAAATAACTAAACTGCTAGAAGTTAACGGTTGATAAATAGCACTAAGCATAAAGTTACAAAATAAATCATACACTAATGAATATACTCAATTTTCAAAATTCCAACACCTTACTTAAGATTGCTTTTCTATTTTCAGAGATTGGATTACTATTGTTTAAATTATATTTAACGTGAAATCTGATGATTGCTTTTCAACTGTCTATGCTTTTTTATTTCCATGTGTTAAACTGAACTACTTATCAATCGGAAGTAGTTTCAGCAATATTCCATTGTACAAATTGAAGGTTGGTGTTTATTTCAAGTAACGAATAAATGATCCTATCAGTTCATATGATTATTTGTATATATTTTAGTTATTCTTTCCGCCCGTAACAATATTTCTACTTCCCTATTCTCCTCTGATCTAAATATATGCGATATTATGATTGTCCTGGATACTACATTTATTTTCTATTACCTGCTGTCTTTAAAGGATCATGAAGACGTCAACATCTGGAGGAAAGCACGGGATACAGTGGACAGGCAGGATGCAACTTGACGATCTAGACTTCGCGGATGATCTGGCTCTTCTATCACAAACGCAACAACAAATGCAGGAGAAAACGACCAGTGTAGCAGCAGCCTCAGCAGCAGTAGGTATCAATATAAACAAAGGGAAAAGCAAAACTCTCCGATACAATACAATATGCACCAATCCAATTACACTTGACGGAGAAGCTTTGGAGGATGTGGAAACCTTTACATATCTGGGCAGCATCATTGATGAACACGGTGGATCAGATGCAGATGTGAGGGCGAGGATCGGCAAAGCAAGAGCAGCATACTTACAAGTGAAAAACATCTGGAGCTCAAAACAGTTGTCAACCAACACCAAGGTTAGAATTTTCAATACAAATGTCAAGACAGTTCTATTGTATGGATCAGAGACATGGAGAACTACGAAAGCAATCATTCAGAAGATGCAAGTGTTTATTAACAGTTGTCTACGCAAGATACTTCGGATCCGATGGCCAGACACTATCAGCAACAAGTTACTGTGGGAGACAACAAATCAGATTCCAGCGGAGGAAGAAATCAGGAGGAAGCGCTGGAAGTGGATTAGGCACACTTTGAGGAAATCACCTAATTGTGTCACAAGACAAGCCCTCACTTGGAATTCTGAAGGTCAAAGGAGAAGAGGAAGACCAAAGAACACATTACGCCGAGAAATAGAGACAGCCATGAGAAGAATGAACAAAAACTGGATAGAACTAGAAAAGAAGGCCCAGGACAGAGTGGGTTGGAGAATGCTGGTCGGCGGCCTATGCTCCATTGGGAGTAACAGGCGAAAGTAAGTAAGTAAGTTTCAGCACCTTAGTCAATGACGCAATGACTATCTATTTTATTACAGGCCACTAAATGTAAAAACAACCACAAATAGGGTTGTACGGTTATATATATATATATATATATATATATATATATATATATATATATATATATATATATATATATATATACTGCAAAGAGATTCCGGTCAATCGAAATGAAAATCTCAAAATATCATGTCACTATGTAGGTTTCAAACTTAGGACATTTAAAACCAGTTACATCATAATGAATTCATAGTTTAAGCCAATAGACTACAACTTTAAATATAAAAATATAGAATGATATAAAGGAATGTTCTTAGTTATTTCAAATATGCTTACAATTAGTTGTCTTTTTAGCATCATCATGTTGAAGTAATTCATCCTTCAATATATCACAAAGTTCAGATAATATTTCAACGTGATTGATATGAATTATTAAAGGTCTAACAGCATCATACAAACATCGACATAATTTAAACAACATTTGACTGGGAATTAAAATTTTTTTGAGAAAGAAAAAGGAATAAAATGTAAGATTATGTTGCTAAAAAGTGGGAACTAAATTCAACACAATTGCTATTAGAGTATAAAATTAAGCACATCCTACCACTTTTCCAATATTACAGAACTCAATACTTATATCTAACTAAATATGATGCTCTTAATATAATCTGTTAATGTCTAGTAATCAAAATTGTCTAATGATAAACACTGTTTATCATAGAAGAATGGTTAAGTCATGGTTTATGAGCTATATACTTCCGACTAATTGAGTTCCTAAGACTAACATAAATTGTCTATTGTAAATACGTCAATACAACCATCCATCTAATCATACTGGCAGGTTTTCAAGCTTCATTGAAAATTCATCCGTTTTTTGAATTCAACACCAAAACTTAAGGAGAGTAGATTTAACTCAATGTAACAGCAAATAGTTTGGTGAAGACACTGACAAAATGCAGAGTCTTCTGTTGGAACTCAGTAATAATGCCAGGATGTTTGGGATGCGTTTCTCCCTATCCAAATGTAAATTGTTACTCCAGAACTGGCCTGCGTCAACACCTGAACTAAGGATAAGGAGTGAAGTAGTCGAACGCGTCGACAACTTCACTTATCTTGGAAGTCTGATCAGCCCTAATGGGTTGGTGTCTGACGAAATCTCAGCACGGATTCAAAAAGCTCCTTTGACTTTTGCCATTTACGTCACCTATGGCGAAGACGAGATATCCGTCTGTCAATTAAGGGACGAGTATACTGCGCAGCAGTTCGTTCTGTTCTACTTTACGGCTGTGAAACATGGCCATTAGGAGTAGAAAATACTCGCAAGTTTCTAGTATTTGACCACAGATGTCTTAGAAATATTGCTCGCATCTGCTGGGATAACCGGGTAAGTAATAGTGAGGTTAGACACAAGGTATTAGGGAATGATCGTAAATCAGTTGATAAGGTTGTGAATATTCATCGACTGAGATGGTTGGGCCACGCGTTACATATGCCTGAACACCGATTACCACGACGCGCTATGCTGATTAGCATTAGGGATGGTTGGAAGAAAGTTAGGGGCGGCCAAACCAAGACGTGCCATCAGTCCGCAAAGTCAATAACTTCTAGTCTGAGCCATGTTGGTAGATGCAGACTACTTGGTTGGGGTCCGCGTGACTATCGTAACCAATGGTTGGAGACCCTAGGTGACATGGCTGAGAATCGATCACAATGACGTAGGTGCATACACACTTTATCTTCCCTTAAACCTTGAGACTAAAATTGCTTCATAACTTTCTTCCTTCCTATACTATATCCTTATATACAACCTTTCTTTATATACTACCACCACTAAATTAATTACTTCTATGAATCCGGTGTTCATCTTGTTGTGCTAACGAGGTATGGCAACTTGGACCGATGCATAAATGTGCGTGGTCCTACGTTGTCGCTGACTGACTGACTGAGTTTATGGTCTTGCTACAAGCTTTGTCCATGCTAAACGTCAGTTTTTGTTTACAGAACTTAATGAATGTACGAAATCACAAATAAACTAGGCGAGACCTTTAGTAATTCAATAAACATTTCATTAAATGTCACGCTAATCATAACTCTTCCACAAGACTGAATTAAGGAATGTTTACATTTGTCTATCGAGAGGTGTCGACCTTAAGAACGAGAAAAGTGGTCTTAGTAATAGAGAAGTAGTACTGAACGATGAGGATTAGCATACCAAAAGCCGTTTTTATAAATATTTATTTTCAGTCGATTACGTTAAAAGGCGATATTTTTTCTTGATATGATAAACTGTTGGGATCATAAGTATTCGCAATTGATACTAAAAAGTAACGACTATTTACATCTAAAAACTCAAGAAGTTCATATACACTATAATCACCTCTTAATCATGTTTTGATATATGTGGAACTATTTTATAATTTCAAAAAAATCTTTACTATTAGTTATCCAAGATAGGATCAAATTAATTCATGAAATTCAGATGATAAAAACATAAGTATATACAGCTTACTTAATTGACTGTGAAAAGTTTGGTGAAAAGAATTGATTAAACAAACGCATTTCATCTTCACACATATGTACTATGAATGTTCCAGCAGTGCGAAGTAGTGTACAATGATCACTAGCATATTTTTGAAGAAGATCTGAAACTCCATTTTGTGCAACAGGTGTCAATAACTCTTGGCGATGATGTAAGTAAAATTTATGACACTCTTGAATTACCTGAGCATATCTGAAATAAAAATCAAAAACTAATTGATTTAACTGAAGGTAATTCACCAAATAATTTTATAATTTTAATACTATCACAATTTATTCAATTAGTCTACACAAAAGATACCAATCGAAATTTTATCCAATGAATGAACATTTAGAAGAACTCTATGAAAGATCACTGGTCTTGACACTCTAGTAATGATCGATACACTCTATTCAAGTGTTTCCGACAGGTAACCAAAGCTGAAATTATTTTATGAGAAAATAGGAGTTTTCGTGACTCGATTAAGAAAATGAAATCTCACTACCAAATTGTAAAATGCGGATCACTGAAATTGTACGTGTTTTGCAATAAAACACGTACTTATAACTGAAACCATGAGTCGCACGACGCGAAAATACAAAGACGATTTATGGGAATTTATTAAACGCCAAAAATAATACCTGAAAATGTTAACTCTAATATGATTTATTTGGAATAATTTACAGTCAGATTCGAATAAATTAAACTGAGTAGTATATGACATTAGCTAATCAACAACTTACTGTATGAACATAAATTTACAATATCATAGAGTTAACCGCCAGCAACCAACAGATATAAATAATCTATTAAGTTATGAAATTGCTCCTTAAAATCCGGCTACATGTCATCGGCGATTGGAAAACGTTAGTTGTGCACGTCACTAGAACTCTACTCAATTAAGTTTTTGCTCACTAGTGTAGTTTATCATTAAGAAATAAATCACAAAGTTTTAAAAAATGTACATAATGATTAACGTTAAGGACTTATTATTAAATCAGAATTCAAGGACTTCGGTTACAATAAAATTCAAAAACATCCTGGTTTAATTCATCTTGATACTCAACCGTGAATATTTTATGAAATAACTGATTACTGTAGCTGATAATCCATTCATAACTCCTTCCCTTAAAGCAGCCGAAGCTAATTAGGAATAGAAGACAAACCACTGATTGCCAGATTCATCATATTGGAAAACTGGTACAGATATAGAGCTATTTTGCAAAACATATAAACAGTGTCTTTAGGATTGAAGTAAATAAGTGAAGCATTAAATGATAAACAAAAACCAACTGGAAGTGGAAGATTATTAACAAAGGACAGTTAAAGTAAAAGATCCTAGTTAGAGATAAGAAAAAAATTGACGAATTATTTTTACGAACTTGGACATTTGCAATATGGCCATAATTCATAGGTTATGACATGACACACATATACATTAATTTGTAGGATGGTATGCGAACTTTTTTATATGCTCGAATGTGGTACGATTTTCAGAACGCATGAAGACCTGTACGCATAAATTTAAATTTTTTTCAGTTAACTAACACAGGTAGTTGCTATTAATTCGGAAATTTCATAATAAGTAAAGGTAATGATATATGGAAAGTATGTAGAATGAATACAACTGATTCTAAGCCATATCACCTAACATCGCTAACCATAGATTAAAATTGTTGAGTGGATTTCAGACAATAAGTCCGCTTTACGGTACGACAGTAGTTGATAACTTAAGTAGTTGATGATATGTTTTAATCTGCTGACTACTAGCTTTATTACAACTTCCTCCAATATCAAACAGCATTGTACATCGAGATAGGCGGAGGACCCAAAAAGAATATCGGAACGACCTCAGTTGACGAAAGTTTATAGTCTCACCAATGAAATTCTGTACTCAAAATAGAACCCTGCTTCTAACTTTAACATTGCTTACTCGGAGATTCTATTATATGCGAGTAATGCTGAGAAAAAACGTTAGATCAAATCCTTGGAGTTTACTCTTGTTTTCTAACTTATTGCCCAAGTTTTACGCATGCAAAGCAACAGGCAATTGTTTGTGTATTACAATGTTGCCCAACACTAAAATGTTATCAAAATCTACTCTTAAGTAGTGCTGAGTCATAAACATCCATTAGCAGAGGCTTAATTATTCTGGTCTGATGAATCTATACTATAAATATAACACAATTTATCGATACTAGTAATTGATAAAGTTAAACACAACTTTTTCAATAATAATAACAACAGTGAAGAGAAATAACTTTAACTGAAACACAAACGGACGATTATTAGGAATATTGATAAATACAATGTTATCTACAAAACGCACTCATCAGTAACGTGTATTCTTTCTTCTAAAAGTGTCATCAACGAGCGTATCTTTGGTCCTTGTGAACGAAATCGTCCGTAAAGTAAAATAAATGAATTCTCAGGGCTGATAACATCCTATAACACATATAAATAAATGGTGTATTACAAAGTTAACTGGAAAAATACAAAATGAATACGGGAAAAAATTTGATAAAATAATCCATACTTATGGGTAACATTAATGACATTATATAAATATAACACTAGGGTTTATCAAGGAGCAAAATCAGCACCTTTAGATAGAATTGTGCTAGTCACAGTGCAAAATCTAAGTAAGGTGTTTAGTCCTGTTGTCTCGGACTGAATTTGTTGCCCTTCGCACAAACAAGGCATCAAATTCACGGAAGGGTGAATGATTACTTTTATGTGTTTCGATGCAGGTGCCAACAAGTTTTTATTCAAGTAGTCAAGCTCTTCTAAATGGCACAATAGTTCATCATAGAATATCGAATCGATTTTTTAGTGGCTGTACAAAGGTCAATAGACAAAAGACCCTAGCTATATTCCAACTTTTGGAGCAAATGTAGTGAATGAAATTAAACAAAGGTGTTTAGAAAAGAAGGTAGTTGCTAACCTCTGTCTTTGACAATAGTAAGATAAAATACTTTCAACTTCCCTCAAACGTATATGCCACATATTTTTCTAATCCATTATCTAAAATTTTACCAACCTTATCACAAACTTATCGACCAAATAATATTAATGAAGTGGTGGATTTGAGATTATTGTTTTCAATTTTAACGACGGAATTACAAACTTAAAGGTAACTCCACCTATTCAGTTCACTTGGTCAGGTAATATTGTGGTGTGGGTTAGTTATATCCACACAAGTAGTATATAACGATGGTCGGGCATTGAATGTATTTCAGTATAAGATCGATAAGGAGAGAACGGGAACGAGACGCGATTGGTACGAAAATGTATGAACAGTAATAATCGGAGACTATGGACTGATATTTGCAGAAGGAACAGTCAAGATTGAGACAATTGATGGTTATTTTGCAAATTAACTGTTTACCGTACGGTTGTCAGATTTTAGTGATATATTCTGTAATTTACGTATACAATACTTTTGATTGTCCCCACTCGTTTTCTTGTTCACTACAGTATCACTGGCTGTCTCAAAGAACAATATGGCTCATAACTGCGAATAAAATTTTGTATATAATTATTAATTTGTAGTAAGTTACTACTTATCATGCAATTACTAGTGTTCTTTTACTTAGCAACTATTCCAGGTTAGTAAAAATTCCACATGATTGCTCTATAATCTTTATTTAGGGTTTTTTATTCACCCGAGAACGTTTACTTCTTTATCTTATACCTAAGATCGAATGTAGTGGTTTCCAGATCCTTTCAATATTCTACATTTTACAGCTTTTTACAGAACGCGGATTCAACACGTCAAAACAGAAAATTTTCAGTGTGCTTGTCATCTATATGGTAAGAAGCTGGTAAAAACCTTTTAAATCAAATATATTCATTCTATTCACAAGACGTTTTTTCAATTGGGTAGTTCAAATAAAGCATTGATTTAGAGGTCACAACATTTAACTAACAACTGTTGAACTGGGTGTACAAATCCCGCCCCACTTACTAAGCTTTAGAGGACCGGATAATACTATTAGTCCTCATGTGCACAAAGTGGTGTGGCTAGGAGATGGAAATGCAAACATATCGTGAGTAAACGAACTTCATGGTATTATTATTATTACAGGAAATATATCCACGAAATGTATAGAAAGCAATTTAGATCAAACTTACATGCAACTCCAAAAGCTCATTTATGGTTCTTTCTATAATATTAGTTACATTACTTTTAATGTATTCAAGAGCTATTTTAAGTGAGGATTTCACTTTGATTAAATAGTTTGGAGATTCTTTGAAATTTGGCTGAACAGATAAATAAACTCATTAAATAATTCGAAAGAGCATTCCTACATGTTCTTGAAAATAAAGTAAACTTGAATCGAGTTTATTTAAAATTGGCAGCAACTTATCACGAGATACGATGAAGTTGGAAACTCCAAGTTCCTTTGGTTGAAAAAATAGATAAACACTCAACTTACAGCTTGGATCATATCCACTTGAACAAAATTGGTTAGACATTCTTCAATTGAACTGGCATATTCAATCATTTCATTCTATTTACAAGCAATATGACGTATGTATTAGTAGTACTTATAATACTCACCTGTTGCCTTAATAGATGTTCGCACAGCTCATGTAATTCATTAGTGCTCTGCGATATGCTTAAGTAATTATTTTCCAAAATCGATAGCTTGGACAAAATTTCTTCAACGATGCTTAAAATTTTTGAACATTCCAACTTTTTACGAGATAAAAAAGTCAAAAATTCACTTTTTAAATAAGTCTTAAATTGATTCATTTATACCTTGGTACTTCAGGTATTTCAGCACTAAGTTTTTGTTCAACAGACCACAGCCATGAATAGAAATGTGAGGCTGATTGTATAGACACATCATCTTGCGTAGTTTGACACTCGTATTTGTCAGTCTGATTGGCATTGAAGGTGGTACGAGTAGTAGTACTGCTTAATGTAGTCTAGAATGGTTTAAGATTATTAACAAGGTTGTTCACTACTTCTCCGTGTATTGAATTCAGTGAATTCAGCAGAAATACTGATTCTAGCTGTTTTTCTGTTAGTAAAGTTTGCTGATTGTCAATATGATCCCATGTAATTACAGACATGTAGATTAACTGAGATTACAATGAAATTATTTGATAATTATTTGTTGGAGTTAGAAACAGGGGTGAAATAAATCTGTAATCAAAGGGACAATATATATATATATATATATATATATATATATATATATATATATATATATATATATATATATATATATATATATATCACATCATTGTAACTAAGTAGTACAAGAATGTAGACTAAATAACCATGTGTAGATTCAGAGCGAAGCTATCAGTCAAGTTAATTATTTACACCTAGGAGATAAGCTTATATACATAAAATAGGATTCAAATTAATGTTCTTAATTACAAAAGTCACTACTTATTGGTTGCTAATACTGCTCCAAATAAACGAAAAAGTGTGCATAATTATTTCACTCCCTATGATCAAAATTAATGTTAAGAAGGAACCATAAACGTTATATTTAACAAATTCAAAACCCACATCATTAGATCTATCAGTGTTTCAATTTTTATGAGCATTATCTGCAAAATGGTATGAAACATCCGAGTTACAGATACTAAGGAGATTGAATTTACGAACTTATTACATTCAATAAGAGCTTCACATTTGAGTACTAGAGAACATAATCATGGTCGTATTGTTATTCTCCATGAAATGAAGAAATTTCCTGTATACAAAAGTATAAGATAAGAAAAATGACTAAAAACCCCAAAACATATGGTCGATCGCTATGACGTGATATTCTAGAGTTACTAAACATATAATAAGTTCACAAATTTAAATTTTGATCAGAATTACGTTATCTGTGACAGCAGCGTTTGGAAGACTACATATTACCATCTTTGTGGGAGGGAACTATAACATTTCAAGTACCAAATTAGCTGTTATTAAAATTAAAATGTGAGTGGATGTTAAGGATAGTAAAAGAATATGTTTTAATTATCCTGCCGTTTATCATATCAAAACCACAAGCAGAAGCCTAGTTATTATAAAAATTATCTGTAACTTTAAAGTGGAAAGGAAACATGAAATTGGTATGAAGAAAGAATGGATAAAGCCAGTTATAACAAAGCCACGATCAGTGACGAATTTTCCATAAAAAGTGCTACGAATACAAGCAAAACACAGCTAGTAAGATAAATTATAGTATCTAATTCCCCGAAATAAATTAGGAAATGAACTTTCAAGATATCCAAGTAGAGCAAGATCTGTAACCAACACTAGAGAGAGTTTAGATAAAGTTAGACGGTTGTCAAGTTATTTTAGTATGATGTCTGCAAATGACTAATAGTGGTTAAAACTTAGTTAAACACTGCTACTGTGGATTTAAGGACCGGTGATAACTAACGAAGTGGACATTTCTTCATAATACGAAAAATTCCAAGATCAGTATTGTAAAAATAAATTTATTTACAAACATTGCAGAGAGCTGGATTGCTTCAACAATTTATTACGTAAAGTCAGGCTCAGTCGACTATTTCATGACACATGGTTAGTGAACTTTAGGAATATAATTTTCAATGTAGAAACAAGTATTTGAAAGTGAAGGTTGCTTAAACTCTCGATACATCATGCCGTCCACTAACAAAAGGCCATATGCTCGAGCACTACTCGTTTTGGTGTATCATATAAATGAAGGCTAGTTTTGTGGATTGAGAGTTGTCAGCTGGACATAGATTGGATTAAAGCACATTCCATGCAGGATTGTGTTGGTTCATGCTGATTAGCTATTTCTTATCTAATTAGCGCTAGTGAATACTTAGAGAAGATTATAGAGTCTTCTCATGTAAAAACTATAAATATACTAACGTTTTTCTTATTGAGCTTCTTACTTACATCTGCCCTTGTTATTTGGAATATTTCTTTCCTGTTCAACCGTAATCTGACTTAAGGATTTGTCGAGTGAATTGGTGTTCAACAATACTAAGCAATAGGAATAGTTGTGTCGCAAGAGAGAAATTATAACAAGAGTGGAAAGTGTATGTGAAATCCGAAATTTAGATTTGCAACAGCAACAAAAACAAGGACTATTTCGGGAGTCCCGACATTCCTGTTGCATCCAGTAGCCAAGCTTTGTCAAGGCCTCTGGACAACAATGATAGCGTAGTGAAGTAGTCGATAAATATTTTTAATTTGGACGGCATTACTTGTAACTTCAGCGCCTAACAACTGGTGAACGGAAATATGAGACCAAATGCAATCGGCATGAAAATAATGTTGCCTGGCGAGCTTTCCGTTTGCTTTGAAGAATACATTTTGGGCCAGTTTGAAGGGGTCATACCTCATCTCCCAATCGGTTTCAGGAGTATATAGCAAACATGCAAGAGCGTAGAGCCAAAGTTTCTGAACAGTGACGTTTATTGCCATCTCAGATTAGAAGTCAATCTGTTAAGATATGTAGAACTCTGGTAACCTTATTCTCAAATCCACTCAGTTTATAGATTAATGTACACAGTTTATCAGCCTGTAATAGTTTAAATCAACAACTGTGGCCTATATTAAAACTCATTGCTTCTCCCATGCATAGTAGTTTATGATGGGTTTATATGGTATACACACTAAATAACCCGGTAAAAATACCATGGTTCCGCATACTACTTTTGAGTTACGTCAGTTAGATATTGGGACGCCCCAGATCGTTCTGATGCCAAGCACACAGTTAGGCATAACGAGATAAAAGGTTGTGATAAGAGTGTGGTCACAGGAAAATGTTTTATCAACAGAATGACTTTCTCTAGCGGTGAGTGTGTTTTGCGAACTGATGACAGTTTCTGTAAATACGGTCAAGCTGTTCACTATCAAGGCGTTTTACATTTAAAAATCCCTAACATTAATATGGTCTCAGCCTTGTCCTTAGATGCGAAGCATTTAGTTTACCTAGATGTTGTAAAAAGATCTACCTTTGTGTTTAGCTATTACATAAAGGACTTGAAGGAATGGCCAAGAGCATTATAACATACGTTAATTAACCTATAACTCGTTGTGCTGAAAAAGAACTAATTTATATTCCCAGCAGAAATGCCACACATTGGACGTCTTTTTGGAAGACTACTGAGAGTAGATTGTTCTTTCTTTGTGTACGACTCGTAATTCCTAAACATTTTTTACTGAAAACCCCACCTAAATTTTAAACATTCGAAATTACTGATCAGCCTCCTATCATATCCTAAGTTTTGTAAAAGTCAGCAAGCCGTGTCAATTATTATTCGCATTAATATCAATTTTTATGTGGAAGTGAAAACGAATTTCCGGGCTATTCAGGCGAGAGGTGGAATATGTAGCGTGGCTGCTGGCGAGAACCAACTTTGGTGTAAATCAAGGGGAAAATTAAATAGTCTGGTGTAAAGTTAGGGGGAACGTAGACAGTTTGAAGATGACCCATGTGTGAATTCATAGACCGTCTCATGGGAGACACTTGGGAGAAATGTATCATCATTTCTTAGACGTAAGAAAAAAGGCGGATCTTATTCACAATCTCAGCTAAGTTAATACCGGATTTCGTCAGCTTATATCTCCTATATTTTCCCAAAGATCACCCTTATCTCACCATTCTTGTGTTGGTTGGTTGGGAATAATTTACACGATAGTCTTCAGATGAACACGACTTCGAAATGCGATGCGCGAAGACTTTCTAAATTTACGGCTACAAATTTAGCCGTGAGATATACTTTTAAAGCCAGTGGTAGCAAACGAACCGTAAATATTTATCGGAAAATCACGTATATACATATGAAAGCACTAAGTCCTATAACTATATAGTACACCTGCCTTGGAGCTATGATTTTTATATGCACAAAAATAAGGTATGAGTAATATTTTAAGGGTTTATGGGGTCTTAAGGTGATGCTAAATCCCTGCAATTTATATATATATATATATATATATATATATATATATATATATATATATATATATAAACCTCCACTTACATATCGGCAGTTGTGCCAAATGGTTTGTAACTGAGATATATTTATACCCTCCAGGTGCTAAACTATATTATTTACTTCGTTTAAAGGGCTTTACTCCAGATTCTTTACTAAAAAAATAAAAAAACCTATTGTTAGGACGAGTTGAACTTAAAGTGTTTGGTGCATAGAATCTCTTGATCGCAAGGCCTTAATGTTTACGCTTACTTATAATAGAGCTACGAACCAATACTACAAGGGTAAACATGATCAAAGACGCTTTTTAAAAAAGCAAGCATATGTAGCGCAAAAAACTAAATCGTGACGTGACCAACTCCAGTCCCAAGGTTGTGAAGCCTTTTATTCAATGAGCAATTCTTAATATTATCTTTCTCGAAATTTAATTGAAGAGGATTGGAGTTTGTCACTTTCTTATAAAGATAGTTAAAATCTTGCCCCGATTCTTCAGATACGCTGTGATAACACGCAATCTTGTTAATTTTTGTCACTATAGAATGCCACATTTTTACTGTTGCCTAATTTTGTATATGAAATAATAGTTAAAATCATTCTATAATGAGTAATCTACGTCATTACTTGTTCTGTTTTATTAGCCACTGCCTTTGTTATAGAAATATAATATTGTTGTGTAATGTTTTATGTTAATATCTATCACGTAAGATTGTTGGTTCCATTCGCCTGAAGATTTACTTTTGTATTTAGGGTTTTTTTAGCGTTGTTGTGGCTTAACACGCAGGAGAATATTTAATAATTGTATGAAATGAACTGTTGGGTATTATCCTAAAGGAACATTCAAGTAACACTGACAATGTGGGATTTGTTTTGGTCTTGTTGTTCAGTAAGTATGATTATTTTATTTGTATATGTGCAATTTCCATTTGCTTATTACCATTCCATTTTGATATTATTCCATTCAGCTGCTCATGGACAACTACTTAGATCACAAGTATACCTGCATCACCTAAAGGGAGGAGTTCCATGAAAAGATCTAAGGCGCTAAGGTGAACACCAATTTTATATTTGTCAGCTTTTACACATCCCAGTAATCTGCTCAGGCTTTTTCTCGATAACTAGTCTCAGTTTGGAAGGGATAGGAGGCTGAGTGA